GCAGCCAATCAATGATTCTCATCATTGATGTTTCTATCTCTCTCTCCCTCTCTTTCCTCTCTGAAATCAATTAAAAAAAAAAAAAAAGAATGGATAAGAAAACAAAACCCTTACATATACTGTCTATAAGAAATCCACTTCAGATCTAAAGACACACAGAGACTGAAAGTAAAGGGATGGAAAATACACTTTATGCAAATGTAAACATAAAAAAAGATGGGGGTAGTAATACTTTTATATCAGACAAAATAGGCTTTAAAACAGATTAATAAGAACAACATTTAAATATACAATAATCAAGATATGGAAGCAACCTAAGTCTCTATCAATATATGAAAGAATAAAGAAGCAGTGATATCCTATCTAATAAAAGGGTAATATGAAAATTAACCATCACTCCATCACAAAGATGGTGGTGCTCAGTCTTCTCAGCCCTGCCGGAGTTCCCCAGTCCTGGGGTGGGGGGGGCGGCCACTGAGAGCGGGCAGTGTGAGTGGCCTGGTGGAATGCTTGTTTTGTCGCCCCGGCAATAAGGCAGGCGTTCTTCGGATGGGCCTTTGGGCTATGGAGAGCCTCTGGGTAGTGGGCACGGAGTAACCAGACCCCGCAGAGAGCTACTGGCGCATGGATTTGTGTGCAGGACTACTAGTATATGTACACAATGGAATATTACAAGGCCATAAGAAAGAATGCAATCTTACCATTTGTGACAACATGATTGGATCTAGAAGGTATTATGCTTAGTAAAATAGGTCAGACAGAGAAAGATATATACTATGTGATTTCACTTACAAGTGGAATCTAAAAAAACAAAATAAAACAGAAACAAACTCATAAACACAAAGACCATTTTGACAGTTCCCAAATAGGAGGGGGTTTGAGGGACTAAGTGAAAAAGGTGAAGGGATTAAATACAAGTTGGCAGTTACAAAATAATCATGGGGGTGTGAAGTACAGCATAAGGAATAGAGTCAGTAATCTATACTAATAAAAGGGTAATATGCAAATTGACTGGATGTCTTCCGGAAGACCTTCTGGACGTCCTTCCTGACAAAGCTGGGCCCAGATTAAGCTGCCTAGAGCGAAGCCGCCCCCAGTCTCAGGAGCCTGCCTCCAGCCTGGGCGAAGTCAGCCCAGGTCCCAGGTGCCTGTGGCCAGCCAGAGGGAGGGAAGCCTGAGTCCTGGGTGCCTGCAGCCAGCCGGAGGATGGAAGCCTGGGTCCCGGGTGCAGGGGCTGAGGCAGAGGTGGGGTTAGGGGCGATCAGGCTGACAGGGGAGCAGTTAGGGGTGATTGGGCTGGCAGGGGAACAGTTAGGGGTGATCGGGCTGGCAGGGGAGCAGTTAGGGGTGATTGGGCTGGCAGGGGAGCAGTTAGAGGTGATCGGGCTGGCAGGGGAGCAGTTAGGGGTGATCGGGCTGGCAGGGGAGCAGTTAGGGGTGATCAGGCATGCAGGCAGAGGTGGTTAGGGGCAATTAGGCAGGTGGGCAGAGGTGGTTAGGGCTGATCAGGCAGGCAGGCAGAGGGGTTAGGAGCCCTTGGTCCCAGATTTCAAAAGGGATGTCTGACAGTCGGACAACCCCTGAGGGGTCCCGGATTGGAGAGGAGGCAGGCTGGGTTGAGGGACACCCCCCCCCCCCCCCCGCCCTGCCTTGTGCATGAATTTCGTGCCCTGGGCCTGTATTATTGTAATAATTCTGTATGGTGAGCTCTAGACTTACCTGGGTGTCACTTTTTTAAGTGTATGATTGTCTAACCACACCTGAAACTAATGTAATATTGTGTGTCACATGATACTGAAAAATAAAACCTTAACATGTTAAAGCATATTTTGAGGAAAATTATTAAAAGAACTGAGCAACAAATTGAGGTGCATCTTAGATCAAGTGCCAAATGCAGTTAGACTGAAACATTGCAGAACAAGTGATTTAATGGCTGCTGTTTCTCATTACTTAAATTGCAGGATGGGGCACAAGTCTAGGAGATGTGAGAGGAATGAGGGTGGGCCTGAGTCCCTAAGTGAAAATGAGCATGTTGTGCCCACTTTGGGGGAATATTCAACTAAGATTTATTTACAGAAGTCAGAAATACTCTTACTAGACTTATTAGACATGATTAAAGTCATTTGATATACTTAGTGAAAAAAAATGAAATCAAAAGAATGGTGAAGATGGTGTATATTGATCAAAAACTAATTGCTCAGGAAATTAGCATCCTATTAATAAAGAGCTAATATGCTAATTAGACCAAATGGTGGAACAACCTTCTGGAATGACCAGTGGGTGGGGGGCCGGGCCATGAGGCAGTCGGGGCTGTGAGGGCTGAGCCCCTTGCACGAATTTCATGCATCGAGCTTCTAGATATTAGATATATGGGATGGGAAATGATGGTTGATATTGAAGTAAGCATGTGTGATGGGATTGGCTTACCAAATCTGAAAAAAACCCCACACATTAAACCTATGTTGTGCCGAAACTGGTTTGGCTCAGTGGTAGAGCGTCGGCCTGCGGACTGAAAGGTTCCGGGTTCGATTCCGGTCAAGGGCATGTACCTTGGTTGCAGGCGCATCCCCGGTGGGGGATGTGTAAGAGGCAGCTGGTCGATGTTTCTCTCTCATTGACTTTTCTAGCTCTCTATCTCTCTCCCTTCCTCTCTGTAAAAAATCAATAAAACATATTAGAAACAAAACAAAACAAAAAAACCTATATTGTAGGTTTGATCTCTTGTCCTAGAAAGTTTATATATAACCCGCGTGTGGGCTAGCCAATGGTGTATCCTTAGAATGCTAGTAAATACTGGAAGAAAAATAATGCTTATCTGTAAGTAACGGGGGGCCTTCAGGTTTGCTCTGCTCTGGGCACCGGCCCCAGCCCTCGCTGGCCCCTTCCAGGCCCTGCTGAGTTCAGAGCCTTTCTTCCCTAAGGCAGCCATCGAAGACAGCTTTTCCCAAACCAGAGCTTTGGGCTGTCCCACAGCTGTGTGTGTGCCTGGAAGTTCTCTTACTCCTGGGCAGTGCAGGATGGGTGAGGAGTTTGTTTTCTTTTGCTTTTCTGAAGGGAAATGCCTCAGGAGACCGACTCTCCGAGATCTGTGGAAGTTGACGTCTGGAGACTAATTCCCTTAAAACCAGTGGTTTTATGTGTGCGGTCCCAGCAGCATCAGCCTCTCCTGGGAACTTGTAAAAACGCAAATTCTTGAGCTGCCAATTCCAGGGCTTGGGCATCTAGGAGGCCGATGCCTGCCCGGATTTGAGAACCATGCAGACCTGTATGGTTGGAGCGGGTTTGCTCTTGACATCATGTCCAGAGGATATGGCGGCTCGCTTTTGTGTAAACATCAGGCATTTCATTCTTGTGTATTTTGGAACCAGTATAGTCTGTTTGCAGTTTTATTGAAGAGCACAGAATCTGTCCTGCATGATGCAGGAAGGTCCCTGTTGCCAAGGGAGGAACAACAGCCAGAACCCTCACTCCAAACAAACAGGCGGTGTCTCTGGGTCCCGGGACAGCTTGCCCGGTGTGGGGTGACCCGGGGTCCTCTGCAGGCAGGTGGCCCGGAGCTCAGCTCTGTGGGTGTCTGAGCCAGGCCGGGCTGGGAGGCCGGGAAAGAGGGGCCTGGGCAATTCCCAGAGCAGGAAGAGTGCATCTGGGAATTGCACATCTGAGGACCACCTTTGTTTTTTTTTTTTGTTTTTTTTTTAATCTTCACCTGAGAATTGATTTTTATTGATTTCCATAAAGAGAAAGAAGAGGGACCTCGATGTGAGAGAGGAATATCAGCTGTTTCCCGTATGTGCCCTAACTGGGGGTTGAGCCCACAGCCTAGGTTTAGGGGATGCTACTCCAACCTACTGAGCCACCCGGCCAGGGCGGAGCCTTTTTATTTTATTTTTATTTTATTTTAAGAGAGACCTCTATGTTCTCTGTCTCCACAAGATTTGTGAATCGTCATTTGTACCAGGCCCTCCCCCTCCTGCCTCTCTCTCTCTCCCCCTTCCTTCCATCTTTCTTTCCTTCCTTCCTTCTTTCTTTCCTTCTTTCTTTCCTTCTTTCTTTCTTTCTTTCCTTCTTTCTTTCTTTCTTTCCTTCTTTCTTTCCTTCCTTCCTTCCTTCCTTCCTTCCTTCCTTCCTTCCTTCCTTCCTTCCTTCCTTCTTTCTTTCTTTCTTTCTTTCTTTCTTTCTTTCTTTCTTTCCTTCCTCCCTCCCTCCCTCCCTCCCTCCCTCCCTCCCTCCCTCCCTCCCTCCCTCCCTCCTTCCTTCCTTCCTTCCTTCCTTCCTTTTTTTCTATTTTGCTTCCACTTCTGATCCTTTTAAAGTACAGCTATTTGTTGTGTGTGTGTGTGTGTTTTAATGTATTTTTATTGATTTTTTACAGAAAGGGAGGGAGAGAGATAGAGAGCTAGAAACGCCGATGAGAGAGAAACATCGACCAGCTGCCTCTTGCACACCCCCTACCGGGGATATGCCCACAACCAACGTAGATGCCCTTGACCGGAATTGAACCTGGGACCTTTCAGTCCGCAGACCTACGCTCTACCGCTGAGCCAAACCGGTTTCGGCTGTGTGTTTTTTTTTTATTGCAAATCATATCAAATCATTTTCTTGCTTAAAATTAAAATTGTTCCCGGACTTCCTGTGCCCTTAGGAAAAAGCCCAGACGTGTCAGCTGCACTTGCCTCCCCTGTCCCCGAGTGTCTGAGCTGCGTAGGGCTGTGCAGGGGTGGTCCCTGGCCCCAGACCCGGTGAGGAGGGAAACGGGCGTTTTATTCCATCGGCGGTGCTTGCGGTTCATGTTGCTGCTGCTCTCCCCCTGCCACCTGCGCACGGCGATGACAACTTCTGCGCTCAGGGCTGGCCGGTTCCCTCGCGGGCTCATGGCAGCTCCACGGGGGCCGGGCCCTGACGGCCACTGTGCCCCGGGCCTTGTAGAAGCTCCGTAAACACGTACTCATCTTCGGTGCCCTTTCCCTGCTGTTCGCTGACGCCCGTGTCTTGCGTTGTAGTTTGGGGCTGAGTTCCGAAGGTTCTCCTTAGACCGCCAGAAGCCCGGGAAGTTTGAGGATTTCTACCAGCTGGTGGTGCACACCCACCACATCGCCAACACCGAGGTGACCATCGGCTACGCGGACGTGCACGGCGACCTGCTGCCCATCAACAACGATGACAACTTCTGCAAGGCGGTCTCGAGCGCGAACCCCCTGCTCAGGGTCTTCATCCAGAAACGAGGTACGGCCTCCGGGCGCGGCGCGCATCTCAGAGCCGCACACGGCCCTCGGTTTTGTCCGTCCTTGCAGGGCCTGAGGTTTTGTTTTCTCGCCAGTGGTAAGAGACGAGCGGAATTAACGTGTGTTTGGTCAACATTACTTTAATAGAAAGGCTTAAAAAATATCTAAACTGTATTTTCTACTTCAGTGTTGACTTCTGATTTTTAAATACTGAGGGGGGAAATAAGGTAATATTGATACTTTCAGTATTTCAACTGGAAGCCAGTTAATTCGGTAACGAAAAGGCCTTAGTCATCCGGGACCGGTTTGGCTCAGTGTTTAGAGCATCGGCCTGTGGACTGAAGGGTCCAGGGTTCGATTCCGGTCAAGGGCATGTACCCTGGATGCGGGCACATCCCCAGTTAGTGGGTGTGCAGGAGGCAGCTGATCGATGATTCTCTCTCATCGATGTTTTTAACTCTCTATCCCTCTCTCTTCCTTTCTGTAAAACATCAATAATATATTTAAAAAGAAAAGAAAAGGCCTTAGTCAGAAACCCAAGAATGAAACTCAGGGTTGCCAGTACGGTTTCCACTGTGCTTTTTGGGATTGGAAAAAGATGTTAGTTTTAAATGGCTGCTTTGGTTAACTTGAGCTCTGAAGACCTCGTTTTGCTGTGACAACATCAGAGCCTCACTTTTTTGTTGTTTTTGTTTTCTCTTTGCTGAGTATGGGAGAACGTTCACATTTCAAACTTACATACCTTTGAACAACATGGGGGTTGGGGGTGCCAACCAGCTTGCACTCAAAAGTCCACCATGACTTCTGACTCCACGGAGTGCTGTTGTCCCTGGGCACTTCCAGGGGATCCACCCGAGGACCCCCTGCTGGTCCCAGGATCAGGGGCGCTCCAGTCCCCTTTCTAGGACCGCCTGGGTCAGCGAACACCGTCAGCCCCCTGCATGCTCGAACCCCGAGCCGCCGATCAGAAACAGAGCAGGTGTTTATTGAACGCCGTCCACGTGCAAGTGGATCCACACAGATTGTTCAAGGGTCAACGGTACTGACGGGAAGAACCCCCTGCGGTGACGCTTGGCTTTCAGGAAATGGGAAAATGGCCTGTTGTGGTTGACTTGGTCATGCCTGGCCCCCTTCTCCGAGGGCACCTTCTGAGCACTGAGGGCCCCTAGAGAACAGAGAGGCCTCGGGAAGCCCTGCAGCCCATGTGCGTGCTACGGTGACTTGGATCTGAGCAGGAGGGGACGGGTCCCGGTCTGGGGACGGGGGCAGAGCCTAAGCACCCACTGAAAGTAGCGGCCGCAGCCAGGATGCTGGGGAGGCCCTCGGGGACGCGGGGCCTGGGGCTCGGGGCGGCAGGTTGCCCGGAGGTGAGCACAGCACGCGCACGGCTCGGAGCGCGCTGGCCGGCGGTCAGTGCCCCGTGAGCGAGCTGTCACGTCCTGTTTGTGGTGACGGAGGGGATGCTGTGGAGACGGAGCACCAGGAGACCGCTGACCTCACCCTGGACTTTTTTCTGGCACAAGATCAGAAAGCTCCGCCTCTGTTGTCCCAGACGTCAACACAGCTGCCACTTCCTCAGGGGGCTGGGGGCGTGCCTGAGGCGCAGGACCCTCGGCTGCCTCTGCAGGCCCTGGCTGTGCGGTGGCTGCTGCCTCCTCCCTGTCCCTGCGCCCCCACCACACATCATGTGGGCAGGTGTTCGCGCCCCCTCAGGAGGGCCTGGTCCCAGATGCTCTCCCTAAGGCGCCCGCCCGCCCGCCCGCCCGCCCGTCCGCGCGCTCTGCTGTGGTTGCTCGCTGCTCTCAGGGCCGGCTGGTCCCACAGCTCTGCCCGCGTGGGTCGTGCTGTGGGCTCGCTGGTGTGGGAGGTGAGCAGTGGGTGTGAGACGCCATGGGGACGGCAGAGGACACGGGCTTTGTCAATCTGTGGAAGGGGACGTGTCTCTGCACCGCTGCGTGTGGGCTGGGCTTGGGGCAGGACGGAGGCACTGCCTGCCCTTCATGCGGCTGGTCCTCAAGACCTTGGCACCTTCGCTCTTGACCCCCCGCCGCGGTGACACGGGTTCATCTCCGGGTCTGTGTGTGCAGGTGGGGTTGCATTAGCTTCCGTGGCCTCGCCTCTCTGCGGGGCCGAGGTCCTGCATCCTGTCTTCATTATTTACTTTTCCTCCTTCCTGTGGCATCAGAGACACGGCCCGGAGATGAACGGGCTGGCTTACGGTGCCGACCCCTCTTGTTCTCAGTGTGAGCCCGTCACCGGCACCCCTGCCTCTCGCTGTGGTGTGGCACCGGCACCCCTGCCTCTCTCTGTGGCACCGGCACCCCTGCCTCTCTCTGTGGTGGGGCACCGGCACCCCTGCCTCTCTCTGTGGTGTGGCACCAGCACCCCTGCCTCTCTCTGTGGCACCAGCACCCCTGCCTCTCTCTGTGGCACCGGCACCCCTGCCTCTCTCTGTGGTGGGGCACCAGCACCCTTGCCTCTCTCTGTGGTGGGGCACCGGCACCCCTGCCTCTCTCTGTGGCACCAGGCACCCCTGCCTCTCTCTGTGGCACTGGCACCCCTGCCTCTCTCTGTGGCACCGGCACCCCTGCCTCTCTCTGTGGTGGGGCACCAGCACCCCTGCCTCTCCCTGTGGTGTGGCACCGGCACCCCTGCCTCTCTCTGTGGCACCGGCACCCCTGCCTCTCTCTGTGGTGGGGCACCAGCACCCCTGCCTCTCTCTGTGGTGGGGCACCAGCACCCCTGCCTCTCTCTGTGGCACCGGCACCCCTGCCTCTCTCTGTGGCACCAGCACCCCTGCCTCTCTCTGTGGCACCGGCACCCCTGCCTCTCTCTGTGGTGTGGCACCGGCACCCCTGCCTCTCTCTGTGGTGGGGCACCGGCACCCCTGCCTCTCTCTGTGGCACCGGCACCCCTGCCTCTCTCTGTGGTGTGGCACCGGCACCCCTGCCTCTCTCTGTGGTGTGGCACCGGCACCCCTGCCTCTCTCTGTGGTGGGGCACCGGCAACCCCTGCCTCTCTCTGTGGCACCGGCACCCCTGCCTCTCTCTGTGGTGTGGCACCGGCACCCCTGCCTCTCTCTGTGGTGTGGCACCGGCACCCCTGCCTCTCTCTGTGGTGGGGCACCGGCACCCCTGCCTCTCTCTGTGGCACCAGCACCCCTGCCTCTCTCTGTGGCACCGGCACCCCTGCCTCTCTCTGTGGTGGGGCACCGGCACCCCTGCCTCTCTCTGTGGCACCAGAGGCCACCCCTCCAGCACCTGCTCCCTGGCTGTGACCAGCGAGCCCCGCTGTCCTCAGCCGAGGCACCCACCTCGGGGCGTTTCCCGGCTGACACAGGAAGACGTCCTGTGTTCACAGCAGTCAGTGTCCCTGCCCAGGATCGGCAGGATCTGCCCGTAGAAACCACAGACATGTTCATATCGTGTTAGTGGTGGCCAGATAGCTTGAATAGCATCGATAGCTGGTCATTATTTTACAACAATGGTACAGACTGTTAGTTAATGTGTGAGTGAGAAATCACATACCGTCAGCCCTCCACGCCTGTGGGTTCCACATCCAACTCCAGATGGGAAATATTTGGGGGGAAATGTTTTGTTTTTTGCTGGTGGGCTACACAGCGGGGCTCCTACCATGATTGTATCTATACTAAATGCGTGCTGACTTTCGCTGGTCATTCCCTGGACAATGCAGTGTAGCGATTATTTATACGGCATTTAAATTGTGTGAGGTATTATAAGTAATCTAGAGATGATTTAAAGTGTATGAGAGGATGTCCATAGGGGAAATGCAAACACTAAACCATTTTATATAAGGGACTTGAGCATCCGTGGATTTTTACATTGGGGTGTGTGTGTGTGGGGGAGATCCTGGACCAATTCCCTTATGGATATTATGTACATAAATGCTTTACTATTTTGATAATTGTCTCTAAAGGGGTCATTTCCTGTGTAATCCCATGTATTTTACTGTACGCCTTTAAAAATGCTGACCCTAACCCTAACCCAGCATTATGAGAAGGCTGAGGGTTCTGGGGCGCTGGGGAAAGGACCCTGTTGCAGGCAGTCAGCATGTGGGAGCTCGGACGGCAGGCCGGGAGCCAGTCAGGGGACTCTTCCTGGGGACGCCGGTGTTTCTGCTCCAGGGGCAGGACCACCCCTTGGGCTTCACATCCACACGCTCTCCTGCGTTTACTCGCCTCTGCGGCCCTCGGTCCGGCCTGGGCCACGGCCACCAGCTGCGGGGTTTTCCCTGGATTAAGTAACAGATGTTACTGTGCCTTTCCCTTCATGCTTTGCCCATTTTAGTAGGAGAATAACGTCGTCATAGAGGCAGGATCGGGAGTCCCATCTGCATGTGTGGGCGACAGACCCAGCCGGTGTCCGGGAAGCCCGTCCCTCCGTGCCCTGCGGACGCCGGTCCTTCCCGGGGAACCGGCCCCGCCAGAGGGAACGCAGGGCGAGACCCGCAGAGATACTCGGAGTGTCTCCTTCTAATTTTAGCAGAGTAAACAGGAAGTGCAAATACCCATCAACTAATTACTTCAGCCACCGGCGTGCCCTGTACGCTTGTTATTTAAGAGATGGGCCTCTTTACCTCTCGGACCTCAGCCCAGGAGGGGAGGTGGAACCCTAATGGAATCTCCGTTGCTCTCTGACCCCGGGGTACCCCTGCCCGGGCATCGAGAGGAGGTTGGCGAAGTCTTCGTTCTACTACAGGACTTTCGGAACAATTAGAGCACTCTGAACTGTTTACTTTCAAGCCAGCCTAAATATAGCACACTTGCGTGTGTCTGTTAACTGTTCTCTGGCAATTCTTTGGGTTTCTCGAAGGAGGAAGACACACGTATAAACTTTTTGGCTAATCCGAAGTGGCATGGTTGGGAGCTGGGGCGAGGGGGCAGGGTGTGTTTGCTTGTGATTCCACTGAAGCGAGCTGCCAGAAAAAGTGATGAAGGCGTGTCCTTCCAAGTCAAACGTATGGGATGATTGAGAGTTTGGT